AGAGCATGAGTAAGTGAGAAAGAAGGCGCTGGTATAAGGACTCACACAACTAAATCAGCCAATCAGCAAGTGTTTCATACGTTTGTAGTTCCTATCTGAACTAGAACACTGACAGGTCAGTAAGGGCCCCGTCTTGTGGCAATATATCCCCCATAATCATCAGGAAGCAATCTGCCCATATAGCTGAGCTTGACGTTTGACATTTGGACTTCAAAAAGAATCGCAAGGAAGCAAAATATACATTTTACATGTACTATGATGCGAGTCTTGTTTCCTTCCACCTCCATATTTGCTGGGCTAACAGAAATGTAAATACCTGTGCAATACTCATTTGTTAGCTTTGATTTGTTTTATTTCACCTTATATACCTCCTCCATCAAGAGCCAGGGTCAAAGTCAGAGATCCACTTTTGTCTTTGACCTTTGGACCCAAATGACCTTGACCATTAACCCAGTGACCCTGAACTTTGGTCAGTTGACTTATTCTTTAATTCCGACCAACTTTGCTTCTTGATATCATCACAAAATGTTCATCAGTGAAAAATACAAAACATGACCTTGACCCTTTGGACCCCGTAAACTCGACCTAAGGTCAGTTGACTCTGTGTTAAGTTCTGAACAACATTGCTTCATAATGTCATAACAAAATGTTCATCAGGGAAAAGGTACAAAATTTAACCTTGACCTTTGACCTCGACTTTTTACCTCAGTGTGTCTCTTTGTTTAATTCCGAACAACTTTGCTTCATAATGTCATAGCGAAATGTTCACCAGTAAAAAGCTACAAAATGTGACCTTGACCCCTGACCCGATGACCTTGACCTTTGGTCAGTTGACTCCTTGTTTAATTCTGATCAACATTGCTCCATAATGTCATTACAAAATGTTCATCAGTGAAAAGATGTAAAATGTGACCTTGACCTTTGAACCTAATGACCTTGACCTTTGACCTTGACTTTTTACCTCAATGTGTATTTTTGTTAACTGAACATCTTGACCAAGTTTCATGTACATCGGTCAATAAATACCAAAGTTATCAGCCAGGAACAGAATTTATGGACGGACAGACAGACAGAGTGATTACTATAGGGCATCCGTATCTCCGATACGGGGCCCTAAATATGTCTCGGCTAATTACTGGGCCACTGATTTTTAGATAAATGAAAAGTTCAGGTATTTAACTTTTGAAAAATATATACTTTTGATATATTTCCATGTCTGTGTGCGGATTTGCACAGGGGCAAAATGTCTGGGGACGTTTCTGTTTTGGGTCACCGGTTTTGCTTGTAAACTTCCGGTTGTCAACTTCTTGGCGCTGTGACACTCCAATATGCCACTAAACCTACCAAAAAAGTCATTTTGTAGCCTTTGCAAGGTATGTATTTATGAATCCAGACAGTTGTCACTGGTTTCGAACTTCAAATATTAAAGTTATTAGCTAAAATGTTTGGTAATAACATATAGTAAATGATTTAGTTGTGTGAGTCCTATAAGTATTATTTATCTAGAATATTCTGCTACAGATTCTCTACTCACAGTTACTGAAGTATGCTAGGATGTATGTGTATATTTATAGCTGGGAATCAGTGAGTGATATAACTCTGTTTTCCCGATCTCTGAGGATGCTTGCTATCAAAGATATAAAGATGGTAACTGCGATAAAGATCATACTGCTATGTACTTGACTGTAGGGAGACCCTAAATGATTTTTTACTAAGCTATAATTTGCATTACTGCTGTAACAATTCAAATTTAGGTTGACCATTGAGCTCTTGTTGGTAAATAGTATCAGCGACCTCGACTCCTCGCAGTAGACCGACACACTAAATCGATGAGTCTTACACAGAAAAGCCATATTCCGTATAAGTTACAGTTACCCTGTATTTTGTCAGTAAATTCCCCAATCTGAAATTATCTTAAAACAAGTGTCATTTATTTGCATTTATGGTGACTTTGGATTTCAACTTTTTAGTTATGGTAACATAGATAATGCATCTTAATTTTAGGAATTACTGTATCAAGTGAATTTTCATTTTAAAAATATTTCCAAAAATCCCAAAAAATACTTAAGTTAACTGGTCACGGCCCAGTTTTCCCTGCTGTTTTGTTTTTCAGAAAAAGGGTAGGGGTGCCCTTATTAGGGCATGCACCATTATTAGGTCAAATATGTAACACTGTATAGAGGGTTATTTATGCGGGGCTTAAATCTTTTGATTTTAAATGATTTTAAACCAACATCAGAAATTTAGATGGATTATATTTTCACAATCTAGACATGTCAATTAAGGAATTAAATTTTCATGGCATCTTAGCACAGAGATAGGACATTCGGCATATAAAGTGTCCAGTAAACAAATGATCAGGCTACATGACAGCAAATTGAGAAACAACAAGTAAGTGCATTTTGTTAAATATATCATCACCAAAGCTATTAGATGGGTGAGATAAACCCTATTTTCAAACATATTTACTCTTTATGTATATGAATCGTCACAACCACATGCACTCTTTTTCACGGTGATATTACAGTTACGAAGTTAATTATCGCGGCTCATATTTACACTCGTTATTTTATTCAGCGGATTATATTTTCACGATCACGTTAATGACCCGCAAAATCATGCGAAATATCCTGCCTGTACGGTATCATGTCAATTAATTTATAAGTGTTGTTATTCCTCAGTTACTGGCTGATTATTATCTTTCAATTGCAGTGTTGACCAGAAAAATTCCTGAATTCCGGATCCGGATTAGCCCATTTCCAGTTACTAGTCATGGCATACTATTGTAACTTCCTACTTGAAAAACAGAAACATTTTTACAGACAATACAATGCCATTCATGTGTTAGTGTACATTCAACCATTCAATAAGCAAGCAAGTCCTTTGCAATTTCGGCTATTTCAATTTTTAAAATTTTTAATTAGTCTGAAAAATCGTCTGAATAGGTTGAAAGCCTGCTCGGATTCTACCGCAAATTTTACAACAAAACAAAGAATAAAGGTTTTTTTCATGATCTTAATGTTTGTTTCATTATTTTCCACACTTGACAACGTTTTGTACTTGTTGGAGATGGTTGTCCAGTGGATATTTACGCCCCCGTTATCTGGCTGAGCAATCCCACAGTACAATGAATCAAGGCCTTATGCTACAAAAGATGTGCCGTGCTGTTGAATTAAACTGCCTTGTGAAAATGCTTGCATTTTTCGGTACTCTGGTCGGCAGTTTGAAACAAATCTATGCTGTGTAGTGTTCTCGGCACTTACACATTGGTTTCATACTATTTATTTGAGGAAAGATAACAGGAACACAGTTGTTTTCACCTAAAAATGTATTAGTCTGAAAAATGCATGTCATGACTATAAAATTGGAGCAAACATAATTGAACTTTAGATATACCAACAAGATTTGTGGACCACCATTACTTTGGAACTCTGTTTTCCTTTATTCTTAACGGTTCCTTCAAATGTCCCCGTCAACATATATCCAAAAAAAAGGATAGTGTAAAATATTTGCTGGACAAATAGTAGTTCAATTGAAGGCAGGGAACAAGTAAAACAAGGGTCCTCTCATTTGTAAGCTGTTTCTAGGTTGCATATCAAATTAATTACCACAATGCATGATGTGTTATTTAAACAATAACTGGTTGCAGTTTTATGGTAGATTTGCCAGAGGCCACTTGTAATTATATCAACAATAATTACATCCAGACAACCAGGTATTTTTTATATTTACATATTTTTCTTTTTTAAGACATATATTCCTACAAAAACCATTTGCCCTGCCTCAAAATACATTTCAGGTGGCCATTTTGTTTGTTTACATATTCCTACACCTGAAACAGGCAGTTGTAATTATAGTCGAGCAGTTGTAATTATAGCCTATATAATTACACTTGCCCTCTGACACTGTTGTAATGGGACGGCGCGGGGGCAAATGTAAATATATATACCAGTATACATGTACATATACTATGGATATTACATGTATATAAACATTTACTACCAGGTACATACTACATTCCTTTTTGTTCTATATAAGCAATTAGTCAGGTCTAACATTCCATCACTTACTGTTACACTACCCTTATTCAATATTGTATCCATTTCTTGGCCTCTAGCCGTATGTTATTCAAGGGAAATAACTCAGTATAATCGTCATTATAGCCTAGATCACTGTTAACATCGCCAAGTCTTACGGGCAGGCATGATCTGAACACTGAACATTTTAGGTAATCCAGCTTAAAACACTAAAATGGCTTAGGAGTAAAGGTTTTAACAAACACATCTTGTCTGACCTTGAGAGGAAGTCAAGGTCATTTCTATAAACAAACTTCATAGATCTTCGTCCCTGTATGCTACCAGCCAAACATCACTGTGCTAGGCTTCTTGGCTATTCAGAAGAAGTTCTTAAAATTTAAACATGATTGGCTGCAGTAAACTTGAAAGTGAATCAAGGTAAATCTTTTAAGAAAACTAAATAACCATGAATATCCCTCAGGACTATAGGCCTTTTAGTATTTGAAATAACAATGTTAAAGCTTCAATTAATTGGCCCACATGACCTTGAAAGTGGGTCAATGTCATTCATTTTAGTCGACTTGATAGTGGTTCATCCCAGCATGCTACCTGTCATAAATCATTACTCTAGGCCTCTTGGTTATTGAGAAGAAGCTTTTAGATTTTTCCCTGTAACCTAGAAAGTGAATCAAGGTAAATATCTTTTGAGAAAAACTAAATAACAATCAACCCCACTATCCCTCAGGACTATAGGCCTTTTGGTTATTTAAAAGAAGAAATTTTAAAGCTTTTAATTTATTGGCCCATGTGACCTTGAAAAATGCAAAATTGAACCCCTTTGCCCAAAGATGTTTTGGACTAAATTTGGTGAATATCCCTCATTGGGCCCCTTCTCTCTGCCCCCATGAGGGCCACACTGTCCATTTATACAAATTTGAGGTATAAACACCATGGTTTTAGTCACAGATTTCATACAAACTCTACCTGTATTCCCTGAGCAGTAGATTTCAAAGCAGCTTCAAAATGTTCAATGTTGCTAGGTGACACATCCCCTAGGTCGACGTGGCGACATCTGAGTCTCTCTGGGATGGGAGCTACAGACCAATCACCCTGACGAACTCTGTCATCTACAGGAAAATTGGGTAACTTCCCAGAGGTGTCAAGGTCCAACTTCTTCAACCGACGATTAATCAGCATCTTTAAAAACAAAATTATGAACAAATTTTACAGTATATTTTTTTTCAATGCAGATATTAGATATCAGAAAATCAATTGATATCTTACAAGAGGCCCAGAGGGCCTGTATCACTCACCTGGATATTTAAGCACTCGTACCAAAATATTCTCATTAAATACTATACTGCAAATATTTCTAAATATTGGATCAGTCTCGAAGCAGCACCCTTTGGCCCCAACCCTTTGCCCCATGGTGACCACAACCAATATTGAGCCCCTCCCCTCTGCCCCCCATGAGATGCCACACCATCCATTAATATGAAATTGAATTCCCTTTGCCTGAGGTTGCTCTACACCAAATTTTGTTTCAAATCATCTAAACATTTATCCCCATGTTCTCGTTAATGTGCCAAGCCCCTCTGCCCCCAGGGGAGCCACACTCTCCCTTTATATGAAAGTGAATTCCCTTTGCCCAAGGATGTTCTAGACAAAATGTGGTTGAAATCCCCCATTCATACAGAAGAAGAAGGATTTAAAAAAAAAGCCCTATGTTCTTCCTAATTGCACTGCTTGTAATATATATTTGTACAGTTTCATACTGTTTTCCCTTCTGTAATTCAAATATTACCTGGTCAACTGCATCCTCAAATTGCCGTACCAAATCGTCTAGAAATTTGACGGCCTCTAATGTCAGAAGAGTTTTGAAAGCAGTTTTAAGTTGAGCCGGAGGATCACTGATTTCCACACCAAGCTGGAACGAAGATTGATAATATTATTGAGAGAGACACTGTCACACACAGAACAACCCCACAAGCCAGTCTATCAATACAGCTAACAGGTGACAATTTGGGGACATGAATAACAGATGACTTTGAAACGCCCATCAAGGAACTCTTAAATTACTAGAGATTTGTTTTTGTGAACAAAATTATGTCTCCCATTTAATGGTTTAAAAGTTTCGACCCCGACAAGAACTCCTGAAAACTTTGCACTTATTTGACCTTTGACCTCAATGGAAACCATTACAGAAGTCCTCAAAACTGACCCCATAGTCGCAAATGATGCTTGGATATAGTTTACAACGCCTCATATGCTTGCATACTTAGTTAAAGCAGTGAGGGACCGTTGGCATCACCTTGGCATACACCTTTAAATGTTTTAACATTTAATGTTGACGTTGATTATAAGGCAACAGCGATCTAATAACACTGTATTGCACATCATCTGAAGGTGATGCAGTTATACTGCAAATTTCAGCAAGATATCTTAAACAGTTGAAAAGTTTAAGACAAGACAAATCCCGGACAACTCACAAATGACAGGTGACATCAGATAACTCACAAATGACAGGTGACATCAGATAACTTACAAATGACAGGTGACATCAGATAACTCACAAATGACAGGCGACATCAGAGAACTCACAACTGACAGGTGACATCAGAGAACTCACAAATGACAGGTGACATCAGAGAACTCACACATGACAGGTGACATCAGAGAACTCACAAATGACAGGTGACATCAGAGAACTCATGCATGACGGGTGACATTAGAGAACTCACAAATGACAGGTGACATTAGAGAACTCACAAATGGCAGGTGACATCAGAGAACTCACAAATGACAGGTGACATCAGAGAACTCACAAATGACAGGTGACATCAGAGAACTCACAAATGACAGGTGACATCAGAGAACTCACAAATGACAGGTGACATCAGAGAACTCACAAATGACAGGTGACATCAGAGAACTCACAAATGACAGGTGACATCAGAGAACTCACAAATGACAGGTGACATCAGAGAACTCACAAATGACAGGTGACATCAGAGAACTCACAAATGACAGGTGACATCAGAGAACTCACAAATGACAGGTGACATCAGAGAACTCACAAATGACAGGTGACATCAGAGAACTCACAAATGACAGGTGACATCAGAGAACTCACAAATGACAGGTGACATCAGAGAACTCACAAATGACAGGTGACATCAGAGAACTCACAAATGACAGGTGACATCAGAGAACTCACAAATGACAGGTGACATCAGAGAACTCACAAATGACAGGTGACATCAGAGAACTCACAAATGACAGGTGACATCAGAGAACTCACAAATGACAGGTGACATCAGAGAACTCACAAATGACAGGTGACATCAGAGAACTCACAAATGACAGGTGACATCAGAGAACTCACAAATGACAGGTGACATCAGAGAACTCACAAATGACAGGTGACATCAGAGAACTCACAAATGACAGGTGACATCAGAGAACTCACAAATGACAGGTGACATCAGAGAACTCACAAATGACAGGTGACATCAGAGAACTCACAAATGACAGGTGACATCAGAGAACTCACAAATGACAGGTGACATCAGAGAACTCACAAATGACAGGTGACATCAGAGAACTCACAAATGACAGGTGACATCAGAGAACTCACAAATGACAGGTGACATCAGAGAACTCACAAATGACAGGTGACATCAGAGAACTCACAAATGACAGGTGACATCAGAGAACTCACAAATGACAGGTGACATCAGAGAACTCACAAATGACAGGTGACATCAGAGAACTCACAAATGACAGGTGACATCAGAGAACTCACAAATGACAGGTGACATCAGAGAACTCACAAATGACAGGTGACATCAGAGAACTCACAAATGACAGGTGACATCAGAGAACTCACAAATGACAGGTGACATCAGAGAACTCACAAATGACAGGTGACATCAGAGAACTCACAAATGACAGGTGACATCAGAGAACTCACAAATGACAGGTGACATCAGAGAACTCACAAATGACAGGTGACATCAGAGAACTCACAAATGACAGGTGACATCAGAGAACTCACAAATGACAGGTGACATCAGAGAACTCACAAATGACAGGTGACATCAGAGAACTCACAAATGACAGGTGACATCAGAGAACTCACAAATGACAGGTGACATCAGAGAACTCACAAATGACAGGTGACATCAGAGAACTCACAAATGACAGGTGACATCAGAGAACTCACAAATGACAGGTGACATCAGAGAACTCACAAATGACAGGTGACATCAGAGAACTCACAAATGACAGGTGACATCAGAGAACTCACAAATGACAGGTGACATCAGAGAACTCACAAATGACAGGTGACATCAGAGAACTCACAAATGACAGGTGACATCAGAGAACTCACAAATGACAGGTGACATCAGAGAACTCACAAATGACAGGTGACATCAGAGAACTCACAAATGACAGGTGACATCAGAGAACTCACAAATGACAGGTGACATCAGAGAACTCACAAATGACAGGTGACATCAGAGAACTCACAAATGACAGGTGACATCAGAGAACTCACAAATGACAGGTGACATCAGAGAACTCACAAATGACAGGTGACATCAGAGAACTCACAAATGACAGGTGACATCAGAGAACTCACAAATGACAGGTGACATCAGAGAACTCACAAATGACAGGTGACATCAGAGAACTCACAAATGACAGGTGACATCAGAGAACTCACAAATGACAGGTGACATCAGAGAACTCACAAATGACAGGTGACATCAGAGAACTCACAAATGACAGGTGACATCAGAGAACTCACAAATGACAGGTGACATCAGAGAACTCACAAATGACAGGTGACATCAGAGAACTCACAAATGACAGGTGACATCAGAGAACTCACAAATGACAGGTGACATCAGAGAACTCACAAATGACAGGTGACATCAGAGAACTCACAAATGACAGGTGACATCAGAGAACTCACAAATGACAGGTGACATCAGAGAACTCACAAATGACAGGTGACATCAGAGAACTCACAAATGACAGGTGACATCAGAGAACTCACAAATGACAGGTGACATCAGAGAACTCACAAATGACAGGTGACATCAGAGAACTCACAAATGACAGGTGACATCAGAGAACTCACAAATGACAGGTGACATCAGAGAACTCACAAATGACAGGTGACATCAGAGAACTCACAAATGACAGGTGACATCAGAGAACTCACAAATGACAGGTGACATCAGAGAACTCACAAATGACAGGTGACATCAGAGAAATCACAAATGACAGGTGACATTAGAGAACTCACAAATGACAGGTGACATCAGAGAACTCACAAATGACAGGTGACATCAGAGAACTCAAATCACAGATATCATCAATGAACTCATACAATGATGTACTTAATAACTTCACAAGTGACATAAGGTAACTCGAAAATCACATGTAACATTGGGGGAACTAACAGATTACTGATGACTATAAGAACCTCACAAACCACTGATGACATGACATTAGGTCATGTCTTAAATCATAGCTTTCATAAATCGCAGGAAACATGCGGAAATAAATAAATCATATGTAATTTCTTGAAAATTACAAATAACATACAAAATTTGGCACTGACCAATCACATATGAATTCATAAATCACAATTGTAACATCAGGAAACTCACAAATCAAAAATTGAATCAAAAACCATTGGTGACACTAGGGAACTCATAAATAACAGATGACATTTGGAAGCTCACATTTTGTGTTACCATGGTTTTTAACCATGTACCGACTTTAAATAAAACTTACTCAACTTGACTTAACTTGACTTCACTTGTAAGCAATGACAAGGAATCTGAAGTCACAACTTGTGACAAGTGACATTAAAAATGAAACTTACTAATCACAGGTGACATCAGACATCAGAACACTCCTCAATTACAAAATCACAGGTGATATGGGAAAAATGGGAAAATACACTGACCAGTCTAAGATGACAACAGTAATCTCACAAAACACAAGTAATATTAGAGAACTTGCATGTCACAGGTGATATTAGGGAACTGTGTTGAACTTAAATAATGCAATAAGATATTTTGAACTTTAGAACTTTCCTTAGTGCACATACTGGAATTTAAGCAAAATACCTGTATTTGTATAATAGCAGTTAATAAAATCAGCTTGTTACAAATATGTCTAAATGAAGTGACCTAAGCACCATTACCTGTTCGACAGACCGCCTCCACACTTCATCAGGGATCTGAAAAGGTGCAACACATTCTTGTTGTTGGGGTTTAGCCTTGGTTTTGTTCCTCACCAGGTGTCCCCTGAGGACATGTAACCTCTCCATTGTGTGAGATTGCCTAGACAAGGTAAGTCCACATTGTTTATAAGTGTGTTCACATATTTACATACTTAGGTGACAAAAGTCTGTTTAGCTTTACCATTTTTTACCCCAGGTTAACTTTTGAAATTCTGTCACATACTTCAGAAAATTTGAACAATAGAGTGAGTTGAAAAAAAAAGAGAAAATATATTTCTATGAAACACCATTAATTGTTATTATTTCTTTATCCTCCTCTGCATCCATAAAAACATAGTACATTGTACAGCAGAAAATCCTCTGGTTCTGTGGTAGTTGATAAAAATAATGTCATATTGATGCTCAATTTATTCACCAACATTTAAACTCCCCCGACGCATTAATTGAATCGAAAGCTAAAGACTGGTTAGCTTAATGAAATCAATTCTAAAATATCCATAACGTTGATCTTAACTAGGAAAGACATTGCAGACAAGTACTTGTACATTTCAAAGTGTAAGTATTTTTTAACTTATTTAATGTATTCAAATAATCATTTTAAAAAGCAAGTATCTTAAGTATCCTGTAAGATTTGAATGGACATAAATTCATAATGTTGCTTGTCACTGTGCCTAATTAGGCTAACAAAGCTTAGAACAGACATGACCCATATTACTGTCTAATACGCGAAATATGTGTATAATGAAGCAGGACATGGCGGGATAAGCACATGCAGGATGAGCACATTGATTTATATCTCTTTTGCGACATACCGCCTTTAGATCGTATGCATTTATCAAATAGCTAAATCAAATCAAAACGAACAACTCTTACCGGAACGTTCCCGCAAACTACTCTTCCGATCGGATAGCCTCGGAAACTATAGGAAATATAAGCTGTTCCGGGTAAAATGATACGGGTGCGTTCGATTCGTGTCTCTTTATTTTAAGGTATACCAATCTAATTAATGAGAGATCTGATTTTAATTAGATTGAATGTATACCTGCTTCCCCTCGGGCCCAAAGAATAAACTCTTTAAAATTAACTTTCTATATTTGTGTTTGTCAACCTCACTCTTTACAAACTATAAATCAAAAACTCTCCTGTTGTGTGCTGTTGACACACACAGCCTCCCAGTACACACAGTATTCCAATGGAAATAATGTTTTTACCAGTTCCCTGTTATTTGAGGGTTACTGAAACCTAGAGGACAGTTCTGTTATAAAATGTTGTCTATACGTTCTCTGTAATCAGAATCAAGTCTCTTCCTTCCATTACAACACTTGATTAACATAAATTGTTAAGTAGAACTTACTACATAAGATGTGTACCTGCTTATTTGAACAGTGGAATTATTAAAAAAAACACGCACACACACACAACTACCACAGAACCCTACGACAATTTCAAGAAAGAATATTAAGGTCCCTAGAGTTTGCATACCCTTTACTCAGGAAACGTAATGAAAGCCGTAAAATTTACCCCATGAATCACGTGAAAATGTCGTGACGAGACATCATTTGACAATCTGTACGATTTTCCCTTTAACATAATTTCGTGAAAACAACATGACCTGCATATTGTTGAAACGTCAAACTCGGACATCATTATATTAAAAGTAACAACAATTGGTTGGTTGTATATGGTTAACGTCCTTTATCAACAGCCAATGTCATTTAAGGACGTGCCCCCATATGTGTGTTGTATATGCGTGCATGTGTGTATGTGTACTGGAGACGGGGTATGTTGGTGTATTTGCCTCCTTGTGATAGCGCGGATCTGATGCCGACTATAGTGTTATCTCACTAAAATACCATGCTGAAGGCACCAAACACAGCACTGATTCCGTCCGGTCACATTATACTGACAATGGGTGAACCAGTTGTTGTCATTACCCCAAATGCTGAACGTTAAACAGGGATTAGCAACTACCGGCCTGGGGACATGATCCATTGCCTTCCTCACTTGGACGAGCGCACTACACTAATGCATAAAAGTGAGGTATTGCCAAGCAATTAAGGCGATAGGAAATAAAGATACAGTAGTTGGAAGTAGAGAGAAATATGAAGACCCCATGTATTGCAATGGATGCAGCGGATTTATTTTGGTCACTTCTGTGCCCCCAACTAGAGGGCATAAAAGCAAAACCCCAATTCTACATGGGGGGATTTCCACATTGGTCGCCTCTTACGATACATGCAGTTGGTAACAGCACGTGTATTCTTTTCTCTACCCCGACCTGCAGAACGGGTAACAACTATGTAATATAGTTACATATTTGTATTTTCATCGGAAGATCATCAGAAAAAAATGTATTCATAGCGCTACGTGTGTCTCGTCCCTCCTTGCATAATTGAAGAACCAAACATTGAGTTGGAGGTAGGCGGTTACAGGAATGTCGCTTGCACTGTCTGACTGTATAGAAATTACAGTATCACAAATCACCAATCATGTATAAATTTACGTATTGAACGGGTTTGAAGAAGGTATGTCGGTATGTAACAGTTACCGATATGTGGTCATACTGGCTCGATTTTTTAAACTCCAATTCAAACCCATAAATAATACACCCCTATTGCGGTAACATCTGTGACTTTAGTATCTGCGTTACCTTGAAGCTCGTAATTTTGTGTATTTCGCCTTTTAACATTTCACGTTCGTACGTATCGAGTGGAATATCGTATAAATATGTGAAAGCAAGAAATCATAGTCAAGTCAAGTCAAGTCAATTTTGTTTATTATAGTGTCATATATCACAATAACATCTTACAAGTAAATAGTTATACAGTATAAAAACATGTAGTTACATAACAGGGATCAATCATATTAATGTACAAATATATAGACCATATCATAATTTTGTTAAGAACAGCTATTATACATAATAAATTAATAAATCAAAACAAACTATCACATGTGCCAATCCAGAGAGCAGGTGATTAGGACAGCCCCTACCTAACAAACTCCTGGATTTTGTACTTACATATTATATAGTATAATAGTTAAAATGTTTCTTTTACATTTACTGCCTTAACACATGATGTCTTTAAAAAAACCAATAACAATGGTGATAAATAAAATGAATAATTTCCTAGTTCTACATTGTAGTGAAATTTAGGTTTCAAGGGTTGGGGAGCCCCCTACCAGCGAGGTCTGCTAAATTCACACTAGCTAGTAGCTAATTATAATTTAAACGGAAGATTATTTTCATAAAAAATGTTTCTGATTGACACTTGGTATCATATTTAACAAATGCATAAAATAGAAAATGTAATTGTATATGATATTCAGCCTAAAATGGCTTACAAGACACTGTTTAAAATTATAATTAATCACATAGACTGCTACGTCTTCTGTATATATTATATAAGTGGTTTGCAAGTGGAATTTGTAATTCCTCGGAAGACATTATAAAATTAAATTTGTCAGTGTTATTAAGACTTGCAAAATCATTTCTTATATTATTTGCTACATTAAATAAGGATGATCTTATGTCATTATATACACTACATTCAATTAAAAAAGTGAAATTCATCCTCTATACAGTTATTTACATTTGTACATATCTTACAGAAGCGTTCCTCTAGCGGAATCACAGGTTTGGCGTATCTTATGGCAAGCCAAGTTGTCATTTATTCATGGAGCAATGTTGATCCAGTACTTAACCAAATTATATAAGATATCTCATAAAGTATATAAGATATCTTATAAATTATATAAGATATCTTATAAATTATATAAGATATCTTATATGTTTATAAGATATCTTATAAACATATAAGATATCTTATAAACATATAAGATATCTTATAAACATATAAGATATCTTATTTTAAGTTTATAAGATATCTTATATATTTTATAAGATATCTTATATACTTTATAAGATATCTTATATACTTTATAAGATATCTTGTAAAAGATATTAGATATCTTATAAAAGATATAAGATATCTCATAAAATTTTCTTTATAAGATATCTTATATCTTTTATAAGATATCTTATATAATATATAAGATATCTTATATAATTTGGTTAAGTACTGGATCAACATTGCTCCATGCATAAATGACAACTTGGCTTGCCATAGTATCTGCCAGTTTCCACTGCTAGAGGTAGAGAGCCACATCTAAAATTAAAAAGTACTCTTCGTTTGCTCTTTTGTCTAACAAGCTTGACATATGAATCCGGTATTACATTTGATTTAAAAGTTCTGTAAGTTCTCAACTTGTTACCATTTATATTACCACTATCATTCCATATAGACTCGTACCATTCATTAGCATCTGAAATGATTAGTTTTTCTTTCACTCACGTCTAATCTTGTGTTTAACAGAAAACGTTGAGTTTACAATTTCATTCAAATTTTTGTCATCAATCATTTTCAAAATTCTAGAATCCCAATCATATATTCGTTATAAGAGATCTTACGGATGAGATTTGGTGAGATATGATGTTTTGATGTATACCGAGACGTGTAAACATACGAAGCATGTAGTCAGTCAACTTTTGTTTTGAGAAGTAACCAAATAGTACGACCATACATACGTTCCGGACCTAAAACCAAGTTTGTATTTTGCGGAAACTGTTTTGTAAACCAAACAGCTAAGCATTCAGTGTTTACTGTATAAGCCAAATGACACCGTGATGAACCCTAACACGACCTTAATCGGCTCTGCTGTAAAAATGTTAGATTGTTTTAACCACCTATCTAAACAACACAATGTCAGTTAACATTAATTGAGTATATCGTTAGGCTTTCAAATCAAGACGTCGCCATTGGTAAATATATTTATACATGATTGGTGATCTAAATAAAAGTAGTCGTAAATAGTTGTGACATTATAATTTATGCATGTATAGTCAGTGCAAACGACATTCCTGTAATAGCCTATACCTTCATCTCAATGTTTGGTTCATCAATTCTGCAAGGCTGGAACAGAAACGTCAAAATTACCATGCCTTCATACCGGTACGGGTTTCATGGAATATGTATGTAACCGATTTGCATTCATACCAGCATGAACATTGAAAAATGCTGTTGAATACGTATATTTACATTCTAAATTTTATAGTCATTATTGATCTAAATAAATAGCTATTCCCTTATATATTTTCGATATTGAATTGTCTGTGTCGTAAAAAGACTCTCTTAACGGTAAGTTGTTATCACGTTCAAACATAAATGTATGACCTTCATAGATTACGTACCACAAGTTACGTCAATGCAAGCGAGATTCGTGAACAGCCTAACCCTAACAAAATATTTGCTTCTAGCGATTGTCTCACGTTATTGGAAGAGGGAGGAAAAGCTTCAAAATGACTTTGATCAAATGGCGTTGATAGCCCTATGAACGCATTTTCTTCTGGTTATGCATATAGAGGAAGCTGAAGTGGAAATGTAAATATATGTACAAAGTTATCACCATTTTGTCCTTTTCTTTTTTCTATTTTTAATGTCAGCCGTCTATAACGGACGTATTTTGGCACGGCGTTATCTGGTTGGCTGGGTGTCAAAATGTTTTGTCCGAACCCTTATTATTTATTAATTCCTTGCCATGTATCATATGTTCCCCAAACTTGCGATACTAATGCATCTTTGGAAGGCAGATTTCATGTACTGAGATAGAGTCTAGAGTCTTACTGTTCACAGAATTATGGCCATTTAATTTGTCTTTCTGAAACCAAAGTTTGTCCGGAATAAAACTTTCTTACTATTTCACGTGCACTTACCAACATTGCTACATATCGGCAAGCCGTATTTTTGCGTTCTGAAATATGGCTGAGTGTCCCAATGTTAATGGCTCTTTGCTCATTTTTATACCACAGTTTCCTTGGTTTTTCATCTGCATTAACTGGGCTATAGTTATATCATGTCTAACTATAGTATGTACGCAATTTTCAAATATGTACCTAGCTGTTATTAAATGTGCATGTATTGTAAAATAAAAAATAAAATAAAAAAATGCTACACATGTTAGATAAGCGAATCAATACAATCTAAAATAACCGCACAATAGGTGAAGTTAATATATGAGACTGAATAACAGATTTAGATCAATCTAATTCCGTAATAAAATCTACATCAATTGAAGCTATGAAACTTATTATAACTGGATTCTGTAAGCGGTGAAATATATCGTATCAACTGGTTTAAAATAATCGGCACACTCCGTACGAATATAAAAATAATTTTATATTATCTTAAACAAGCTAGATCCATTATTGACATGGTGGTTTCAAAAATGCATAAAATCATTATTCCAAAACCCCATCTGCAAATATCTTAATTTCAGTTAGATTAGTGTACTCTCCAAGAAAACTAAACATGTACTTCCTTATATATATACATTTGTATGCACTCTATAGTGTCTTATATCAGTTAAGAAACCCGTCCTAAGAAACCGGACAAGTGATTCAGTTTAATCTTGATAAATATATCGATCATCTCCTTACTGGCCCTGTTTGTAGTTTTTCTACATTGACGATTCAAAACATGTTTCTAATATTTGTTCTAAGTACTCTGTTTTCAGAAATTGAATAAATGATAATCGAGTCTTTATTGGTATAAAATTAAAATATATTGGTTTCTGGTGATAAAGAACTGTCAGTTGAAGTCCATTTCCTCATATTGTTAAAAGTGTGGGAAGTATATTATATTCACAACTTTCCAAAATGAATAAATATTTTAACAATTAAGCGATAGCATTATATACTTATACTTAATCATGAAGATTAATGTAAAGTAAATCATCATATGATGTAAAAGAACCTTTAAATGGCTTATATGTAACCTTTATCCTATCGTTTCAGGTAATAAGATTACTTTAATTTCTTTATTGTTTTGTTTTTCTTATCCCTCCCCCCTCCCCCCTTAGAAGTTTCCGGGGAAAATAACCGCTATATGACTTAAATTTAGTTTCAACTTGACAGGTGCGTTCGATATACAAATTGTCCAATGTGCTATTTTTTCTTGTGCAATATGTACTTTATATTTATATTATAAATAAATGTATAATTATTTCTCGTAGTCAAAATTGTTTCGTTGATTGGTATTCATTTTTCTTTGGATTATTTAGAAGATTTAGGATATATCATTTTGAGAGACAGAAAATATGATTGGCTGTTTTCGAAAGCAATGTTAGAAACGTTCTGATTGGTTAGATGGTACCGGCATGTTAAAAATACGAACCTGGAAAAAGGCCATCAAACAAAATCAGACTGTATTTTAATAATTAGGCCTGCTTACCGACACTACAGAAACATGTCGACAACACGAAGGAGTAAGAAAGACATAGACAGATTCATTAGTCAATTTCCAGATGATCAGGTAAACTTTTGAACTGCTTTACTGTATCTCGAAATCTGATTTCTAGTTTCTATTTTTAGAAATTCATATTGCGCCATCGGGGAATGCAAGTAGGAATTGGTAAAGTGATGTATGATCATATAGATCATCTTAATAAATGTTTTTATTCTTATTGGTGGCTATAATTCATGCAATGCTGTTTTATTCTTATTTAATGACTTCCTCACCCTCAGTCCACTTCATCAGTACAAAGTCCCGTACTAAGTAAAACTTCAAGACTAAGAGTTCAAGAGTTGGCACACTGATCACATCACTGTTTAATTCTTACTTGTTGGCAGAGTAAATGGGGTACATGCGTAAAATGGTTTGGTAGAATATGTTGGGTGAGGGTTGGAGAAGAGAAAACGTGGCAGTAAGCTTAAGCTGAGAGTTAAGCGGTTCATTCTAGTTCAAGATAGAACAGTCCTCTACCCTTTAGAAGTAGAAGACTGGTTCATACTAGTTCAAGATAGAACAGTGCCAGACCGTATACAAGGCAGAATACTGAAAGAACTTGAGGATATCACAGCACCAATACTAACAAAAATATTCCAAACAGCACTCAATACAGGAACATTATAATTACCCAGTGACTGGAAACATGCCAACGTTAACCCAATATCACTCGCATGCATCGCATGCAAACTCCTAGAACACATCATCAGAAGTGCAACCATGAAACACTTGGAAGACAACAAAATACTGCACAACCTGCACTATGGCTTCCACACATCAAGATCTTGTGAAACACAACTCATTACATTCATACAAGACCTCCCACAGAACCACAACAACAACAAACAAACAGACATCATCACAATGGACTTTGCCAAAGCCTTTGACAACAAACTTAAATATTACGTCATCACAGGAACCACACTAGCATGGATAACAGCTGCCTATCACAATGCACCCAAACAGTAGTACTTGAGGGCAAACACTACGACAAAATACCAGTAACATTAATATGTTTTATAATGTAATCAGCCATATACATTATTAGTGCCAAAACATGTATTGGGTACTGTATGAAATTGTTGTTGTACCTTTTTACCAAATAAACTTGAATTGAATTGAACATCTGGAGTGCCTCAAGGAACCTGTTTGGGACTAGTCCTTTTCCTCATATACATCAACGACTTGCCTGAATACATATCACACAGTACACTAAGAGTTACACGTTTTGCAGACGACGGCAAACTATACAAAACAATCAACAACAAAGACGACACAACAAAACTACAAACAGTTTTAGATGCAGCTAGTAAATGGGAAGAGGACTGGCTCATGAAATTCCACCCAGACAAATGCACCAAACTCACTATATCACCAAAACGCACACAAATTAAACACAAATTAAACACCATGACCACACAAACAACACAAACCCATTAACAACATTACATCAAATGCAAATTAATCACTAGGCTTTCTGAAACACAACCTAAAAATAAATACACCACACATAAAAGAACATGCATACAAGGTCAAAAGACCAAAACTTGAATACCGCTTTCTCAGTTTGGGACCCTCATTATACAAATAACATAAATCAATTAGAAAATGTACAACGAAGAGCAGCACGATACGTCCTAAACAAATACCATTACACAAGCTAAGTCACAGACATGATACAAAACTTGCAATGGCCAACACTACACACACACAGAACAAGAACACGTATTATTCTTCTCTACAAAATAATACACCAACAAGTAGCAATACACACTAGCAATCTCATCCAGGCAGACACCAGAACATGTCAAGGACACGACCTTAGTTACAGACATATCTACACATCCAAAGACACATACAGACACTCATTCTTTCCATACACCATAATACAGTGGAACCTCCTACCCAAAACAATCACCAAATCAGAAACACTAGCTGTTTTTATCCTATATATATAGCAAATAATAAAAAAATAAAAAAATAAAATCACTGTACAAAACAGCGCAGTACAGCACAATACCCAAACTACAAAACTCTATAATCGTCAATATTGACGGAGGAAGTTTCATAGATGAAGATGAAGTGGGGTTTGTAACCAGTCATAGGATGAACTGCTTGAAATCTGTTACAGACTGGGGTGATAAAATAAACACCAGCAAAAAGGTTATCTTAACTTATTCTGTCTGGACTTCCTCCCCTGAAGAGATAACTTAGTGGAATTAGCTTTAGAAATTAAAAAGTAATACTTATATGTAATAACATGTATTATTCAAATATATAGAGTAAGTGTTGTTTTCAACCTCAATGATTTTTGTAGAACTTTTTTTATGCAAGTCCAAAACATTTTTAATTTTAATTTTGATCAGTCCCACTTCTAAGAGATATAGTGCAGGTGGGACCTCAAACAGTTGATGAGCCCTACATGGAAAGCATGCATCCCAAAAGTAACTAAACCAGTATTTACAGGGATTTAAGATTTGATGTTTATTATGAGGGTACTAGCCTACAGGAAGATTTTGAAGAAACTGTTAAAGACCAACCTACATTCTCAAAGTAAATAATGAACTTTCACTCTAGCCCTGATATAAATATAAGAAGTGCTAGCCCCAGGCATCAGGCTAATGGAATTGTATGCCTCCAGAGAAGTGACATCATCATTACATGCATTCTCTTACACATAAATCAGTCTAATAGCAACTGTATTGTAAAAGGAGTGGGAAAAATGAATGACCAGAGCGGGGTTTGAGTACGGAATCCTCCGAACTCTAGACGAATGCTCTACCAATTGAGCTACCTGGTCGTCAACGATCGACCCAGTCTAGTTCACCTACATTCCTCCCTTCTTTATTAAGTTTTTGACCCTGAAGACATGCAAAACCCTATACCGTGTGCTGTGGGTATATTTCGTTGGGCGCCAAATGTAACAGGAGTGCAAAAATGTACGGCCAAAGCAGGGTTCCAATTCGGGACCCCCTGAACTCTAGACGGACACTCTACCAATTAAGCCATCTGGTTGCTGACGATCACCCCAGTCTTGTTCCGCTACCAAAACATGGAATATGTGAGAAAATTACATATTCTAACATAACTTTCTAAGATGTATGAAAGAAAATTGTCAATTGTGGATGCAGAAACCTCAGAGTCAAGAAAGTCTGTGATGAATTACTATTGCTGGGGGTATGGAGTTGTCCTGGGCTCATTGTTGTTCCTGGTATTTGTTAATAACATGCCTAATATTAGCCAGCTCCATCATCAAGTTGTTACTGTTGACAACACCAAAATCTGAATGGTTGACTTTGATTAGATAGAGAAAGAAGGGCCATCATATGGTTAATCCATAGGACTGGTTGTACCAAAAAAGGCAACTAACAGCAGAGTCACAACTGTCATTTAGTATGATGTACTGCAAGCTAGTCCTTTGAATTCCAAGTCTGGAACGGTTTTAAAGAATAGCTTAGACCCAAACACATGAACCATATTTTCTATTTTGTAATACAATCATCTGTTGATAATGTATATTGGTGTTTTAACTATAATAAATCACTTCTGTGTATTTGATACTTTCAGATCAGTGCAAGGGGTTATCAAGTGGCTGTTCTCTACTCCGAGATTGGTGAATATGACCTGGCAAAAAAGTGAGATATTGAAATATTAATACTTAAATATTTTGATTTGATCACCATCACTTCCAATTACATTACTTCTGGTACATTATATGAACATCCTTCTCTAAATTTTATGTGGTATGGTATCCCAAACTTTTTATCAGTAAAAACTGACTATTTTAGGTACCTGACATGTTATATGACTGTACGGGATAACTTACCTCAGGCACACAAACTAATGGCACAGATATGTGAGGGGCTCCAGGAAAAGGAACAGGCCATAGCCTGCTATAAAAGGTAAGTGTGGGGAGTAGCTAGATTACACCAAAGATATTGGCCCTTTTCTAAATTTTTCTATAGTACGTAATACAAATCTTGATATTATAATTAGAAGCCTTTAGTCTGTTCCAGACTTTTATAGATAGGCACTACCCAAATGCCATTTCCTTGCCATTTTATACAAGTTAAGATTTTTAATACTGTTTCTTACATAAATATTTTGGTATTTGATTGGTTCATGCATAGAGGATTATAATATTTCTGTTTGTCTTTAAAGGTGTTTGGAGTTAGACAACTCACAGAAAGGAACCATCTTAAAAAGTAAGAAGCTCTAACAAGACTTAGTGTTCAAGAGATCATGGCTGTTAACAGGGCTTTTCTTGGGACATTTTTGGGCCAAATTTGGGTCCATTCCTAATGGAGAATATTATTATTATTTCCTTCAAATCTCTAAAATTTCACAGTCTTAATTTATTTTTGCAATGATTAGCTTGTACTCAGATGATGATTTAACAGCTACACATGGAATGATATAATCTTTCATGTGAAGGCATGTTTTAGTCTTTTATGACTAAAATCATGGGTCGCACTCCCACAATTGTTAAAAAAGGCCTGGTCAAATTAAACTTTAAAATAACGTGATGAAATAATAAGTATTGAAGATGGTGCAGTTGTCCATCATCTTTATATGGGGCACTTACTTATATATATGCATGTATAATCAAACTGCTGACATACACATGTTGTCAACTTTAGAATATGATGGTATCTATGTATGATTCATAAAATGTTTGTAAGATGCATACACATTCTTTTTCTTATAATTTGGGTTGTGAAACCGGACAAATTTTAATAACCGGTTACTCGCAAAATCGGTCAGTTTGGTAAACAATAAATAACAACAGATGCATAGTATGTTTAGCTAATGTTGTAATCAAAAAGAATTTACAATTAACATTTATTATTTTAAACTCTCAACACCTATTCGCAGGAAATACATACATGTAATATTACAGTAGTCAGTTTATGAATCACTTTGTTATACAACACCAGTTATTTCTACACTAACTCATATGCAGTACTATTATGCTTGGGAAACACAATTTGATTAACAAACTAATTCTTTGATGAGTGCACATCCTTTAATGTTTCACTGAAATCAGTCAGGTGTGTACTCTTCAAAGTGAGTGCTTCCCCGCAAGTTGGCATTTCACAACTTTGCATTCTGGCTTCCTTTTAAAATCTATTCAGGCTTTTTATGACGTGGTCGGCATCTCTTTGTAAATTTTTACTGTAAAGTACAAAAACAACGCTTAACTGTCAGTCTGGACTATGTTTTTATTACTAAAAATTCCGATTTGGCTCTCATGGATACCGGTAGATAATTTGTAGGGCTAAGCCAGGTAAACATGGGGCTCTACATGGGATGAAGAAATCTCCGATTATTCAGTTATTGATTTCGGCAACCGTTTCAGGGTCTTCCAACCGAGTAACCGGTTAACGGACTAACTGTTGACATGTACCTGTGTTTTAGAAAAAAATATGCTGGCAGTTATCCTTTATTTACCTTGAAAATAGTAAATTTGGCAAGCTAATTATGCCTAGTATCTGATTATGTTTTTCTGCATTGGTATGTAGAAATAATCAAAGAATATAGAAAAGTCATGGCTTTAAATCCTTATTAAGATAAGGAGCAAACTGCTGGAAGGCCAATTAGGATGGGAATGGCTGACCTTGTCATTGGTATTCCCGTGTTTTCAGAAGATCATAATTGTTTCAGAATCTATAAAAAGATGTCTTCTATTTCAATTTCAGTTTGTGAAGTGCTAAGTTCTATGCCTCCCGATGATGCTCAGAGAATCAAGGTTTGTAACATTTAGATAGGGCATCTATCCAGAAGACACCCCTAACAATATATATAGTTTACCCTCTTTGACAAAGAGGTTCCACTTTCTTTATCTCATCTTATACACACAAGAAAGATCCTACTTAGAAAACGTAAGTTTTGTATAGATTTCAATGTTATAATGATGTATTTATGAATGGAAATAGTGCATTGATCTGGTGAATTGTTGTTAACAGTATTGGTCAGAGAAGGCAGAGAAAGTATTCCCAAACAATCCAGTCGTCTTCAAATTGAAAGTAAGTGCTCCTTTATTACTAATAAATATTAATTAATACATATATTATTTCTCAAAAGATTTGATTTATGTCTGTGAGTGATGCTATCATGCCCATCAACATCTTAACTTGTTACCAAATAATGTAAATATGGTATGCTCTGATCATTAGGTCTGTTATAGAATAGACTTATATCTGCTTTAAAGTTCACAGTATGATTTGCTTCTGATGGTTGATTATTGGAAATCAGGAATGAAATCTACTCTTGTGTTCTAATCACTTAAGATGATGGCTATTGTAATAGTAAATAAAGTGCTTTTGAATTTTATCACTGATAATTTTTGATATTTGTTTCGATTTGTATGCCTATGAAAATGTCAGCAGGGTAAAAAACAAAGTTGAAAATAGAATGTTTTATTTCAGGAGAAGATTTTGTCAAGCAGTTCTGGCACAGACCTTGACAAGCTTGAGGAACTTTACTCAAAACAGCTGGTATGTTGTTTAGTAGATAAAATAACAGAATCCACATAAAAAAATATAGAACTTAGATATCATAAAATGTATTACTCCTAATATGTTCATTATTTAGAATTTTTATGTTCCTAGGATTATATGATTACAGGCATACAAATACCACAGTAGTATATACATCAAGAACATTTATGTAGTGTGTGTTTTCGCTTTAATAGAAATCCATCGTGACATCTTGCTGTAATTTTTATCAACAAATGTAAATTGTTGAAAACTGAGCAGTATACATGCAAACACATCTGCCTTGTTTCCAGGAAAAGAACTACACAGATGCTAGTCTGCACATCAAGTTAATGGATCTGTACCTGACAAGTGACCGTGTCCAGGCAGCAGTCAACCATGGGATCGAGGTTGAGCGCACACTGGCATTTGTTCAAAACCCAGCCTGGTACAAGTGTCTGATAAAGGCATTCAGTGTAAGATTTTAGCATCTCTCTTAGTCAGCTGATATATCGTACACTAGAAACCAAACATTTCAGGGATTAGGATGTCGTTTAAAATTGTCTTTTAAACAGTAACAAGAACTATTCTTATACATATATGTTTGTCTCTAATGTTGTATTATGGTATGGCCTCCTTCTGTCTTTTTAAAACATTTTTCATTTTTACTTGATAACTTTTCTAAACCTAATCAGATTTCAATGAAACTTAGACAGCAGATAAACGTTAGGAAGATGGAGGCTTAGATGATCAACAGAATTCATGCATACTAAATCGACATCCTGGCCCAGCTATGATAGAATTAAATACTCTTCAGGGATGGAAATGACCTAGAGGTGCTTTATCAAAATTGTGAATTACCCCAGGGTCACCCATTTCTACCTGGGAGGGAGTAAAGATAAAAATTGGATGTAGGGAAATAACACTTTAGGTTGTATTTTCAGTAGGAAATAGCCGATTTAATTGGCTGAAAAGTACAAAAAAAAAAGTCTTCATATCAAGATTTTGTAGAATTTTCTACTTTTTTTGGATGGAAATGCTTTATAGTGCATTATCAAAATTTTGTAGAATTTTTTACTTATTTTGGATGGAAATGCTTTATAGTGCATTATCAAAATTTTGAATTATATCAACACTGGGTCACCTATCCCCTCTAAATTATAATTTGATGGAAGTGTGATGATTGGAAAATTGAGACTTTAACAAAAGTAAGTGAAAAAATAACAGAAGGATCATAAAGCTTAGAAATTGTTGTAATTCCACAATAAGCAACATTTTATTACTAAGAGTACTGGAGATTGGGGATGACATATCCAGGTTTTGTTTTCTGACAGTTACCAATTAATTATACATATGATAGATGTTGGTCACTCTGGAACATCATTTTGTGATCAAATCCACAGTTAAAAAGTCTATTTGCTTTATATTTATGTACTATTTTGCTTTGTCACATCACAAATAACATTGTATGGCAGTTAGTTGACCATTCTAGCTTTTAGGTCCCTTGTTCATGTACAATACTTCAGTTTTGATCTCTTCTTTCACTCATAGACTGGCATTTAAAATGAAATTTTCCTTTATAGTGTAACTTGCTAAATAAAAATCCACTGTGTGTGACTTCACTGTCTATTATGTTACATAAAGAAGTTTACTGAATAACTTTAATAGTGAAGTAGAGGATCATAATTATGTAATTGTTGTTGTGTAGACCCACCACCAGAGGGAGCAGGGTAGTGACGACATCTACATCCACCATCTGTTTGCCCTACAAAACCTGGTGTCCCTGATGATGCCTGACCATGATGTTGTGACTTGTGCCACAGCCCTTCACCAGTAAGTTATCTCCTAATGTGTATAGTCCACGCCCAGCGCTGTAACTCCACTGATAGACCACAATGCTATGAATATTGACGTTAAAACAATGCAAAATACTTGATATTATACCCCTTGGAATAGTTTGTATCACATTGTATACTAAAAAGGAAAATGTGGATTTTACTGGAGTTCACCATTAGATTTAAATCCTGTGGTAGTTTTCAGTGTTTCACAAAGAAATATAGAAGGAGCATTTCTGAAATACTGTTGTCATATTTTTTTGTAAAAAAACTATATGAAATGAAATTGTCTAAGTTCTAACACATTTATTCAATTTTTAAGCCGCTCTTGGCGAGAGCCGAGCGGCTTATTAATTCTGTCCAGAGAACGAAATGACGGACCCACTTCCGTTCGGGGTGCGTGCGCATACTTCAGTGCATGCTTCCGCTATATAGTTTCGTTATCGCAAATAGAAAGTAGAATCTCTGACACTCACATGTGGGTTACATAAAGTCTTCTGATACTCCTCTCCAAATTATAATCCTTACTGTAAATAATTGCTGAAAAAAAGTTTATCTCCGGTGCATTCTACGAGTGTTATGGTGGTGAAATTCGTGCACTAAGTTTGAGCGTTTTAGCAACTCTGTTTGCGGTCTGATGAGTGTTACGTGTGTGAAACACATATGATTCGAGAAAGCACATGTGAAGACTGTCAAGCATTGACGCTGTCTGTAGAAGGAAGAAGTAAATATATATACTTATAAACCGTATGAGTGATGAAGTATACCCTCTATTTTGATGTTTGAAACGGGAACGTAATATGACATATCGTGCTTAGGTTGATAACGGTAATGGCTCGGAGACGAGACGATATGTGAACTGTGTATGCTTATCAAACATTTCTGTAACACAGCATGCTATTTCTGGTATATTGATTTATGAAAGTGTAACAATTTAAGAACATGACACAACAGCCGCTGCTGTTTGACAAGAATTGGGGCCGTGTCAAAATAATATCCAATTCGGTGTAAGGGAAATAACTCTTACGTTGTTAAAGATACATTGAGAAATATAATTCAAGTATATTCGAAGAACATTTGTAAGATTTTGTATATTCAATGACGGTAAATATAGTCACTACATATATCAATGATTATAATTAATATGAATAAAAAATAAATAAAAATAAAAGGAGTACAATGTCTCTTTTCTCCATGCATGTTTTCCCACTACTGTTAATTATCCTTCATTTCACAAGCACAAAATGCACCTATTCTTTATTATCCATTCACCGATTGCCATGCTGCACGTAAATGCTCATGTCACATCATTGGAGGATGCTAATTAATGAAAATTACAACAATGCATCACACTTAAAGAGGGTGAAAAAAGAGGAGAGGGAGAAATGTTTTTAAGGCATCATTTAAGTGGCGATTGATTTTGAAAATCCCAAAGGCAACATCATCACATGACCTGATTTTCAATTAGCAGAATACAGAACACATATATGAGGTATTATAGTAGATATTGATGCTCAATGTGTTACTGAAGCAATTAAATCTAAAGTGGTGAGCGGCTGTAATGTCATACTGACATAATTCTAGTTCTAAAGTGATGTAAAAAGCATTTCATGTGTTTATTAATTGTTTACGTCCTGTCATAAATGAGTCACAAAAATGATCTGTTTGTGACAATTTCTGCTGAAGTAACTTTTAACCTGATAGCATTGCAACATCATCACTATTGTGTCATGATACAAACAAGAAAATAGCTTCATTTTCTTTAAATGCTGATATCTTAAATTATGAAACATTCTTTAATTTCTATTTGATTGATGAAAATATTATTTGTTTGATACATTTGCAGATTTGATCAGTGCTTGTTTGAACTAGCCAAAGCATCCTCCCAGAGACCTAAATGGCGTGCTGTTGTCACGGAAATGGAGGGACAAATCTACTTCCTGTCAGCTCTAGTCCTCTTTAAAAGAGCTCAGAAGGTTAGTTGTACCAGGCCTTTGATATTCTCGTCCTCTATAAATGAGATTAAAAATGAGCTGTACCAAGCTTTCCTTATCCTTTTGTATAAGCTCCTGAAGTAGAGCAAATGAAAATTATCAGGTTTGGATGGTAAAGATGATCCTCCATTTATGAAGAAAAACTCACTGTTCTGAGCAGAAGTTTCTGGAGTTATGAAGTTTCACCATATATATCAAATTGTACATTTGAGGTGCAGTTACAGAATTTTATCAACAACTGTGGCTTGTAGTTTTTTTCAGCATTTAAAGTAGAAATAGACAATCAAACATGAAACATATATGTAAGAACTGAACAGCTTGTACTAAGTGTGGTTGATGTTTTAGGGCCAAGTTCTGTGGAAGGATGCCAGCTTCTTTGCGACTGTGTGCCTGTTGCTGAGCAGTCAGTACCCGGCCATCGATGTGAAGGCAGCGTGGTACCTACAGCTGAAACAGCACAACCGCAAGTTCTTTGACCGCATACACAAGATTGGAGCCTACAGACACAGCCAGGGAGGTAAGAGAAGTTTGGGGGTTGAAGACAGGAGTAAAGGAATCTACTTGGTATTTGAATGAATAACAAAATGTTGATTTTTTAATAAAACCATCAAAATAAAGTGATACAATTTACTGTTTATGGTATAATGTTTTAAGTAATTTTAGTTTAAAAAGAACTCTCTGACTTGCTACCTGAGGCCTTTTTGTTTCTGTCAATAACTGGTCTGTCTACCTTTAACTGCAATATTTTTGGGGTTGGAGGTATAAAAAGACTGGTGCACTTGTAAATATTAATACAGGCCATGAATGTCTTTGTCAGAAAGCAACGCTTATCTCTATCTGAGCAAATAACTAATCCTACTGCCAGTACAGGTTAAACTATTTGTAATGTAATCAATGAAAGTGGCCCTGGTTCTTTCACATGTGTTACCAAGGTTACCTAGTTATTGACCTCTGTTACCTAGGTTACCTGGTACTTGACCTTGTAATACCCAGGTTACCTGGTACTTGACCTTGTAATACCCAGGTTACCTGGTACTTGTTCTTGTAATACCCAGGTCACCTGGTACTTGACCTTGTAATACCCAGGTCACCTGGTACTTGACCTTGTAATACCCAGGTTACCTGGTACATGATCGTGTAATACCCAGGTCACCTGGTACTTGATCTTGTGTTACCTACTTTGCTTTGTGCTTTGTGTGACCTAGGTTTCATGATATTGACTTTTTGTTTCCTAGGTTACCTGGTTCTTGGCATGACAAGATCTGATGTTTCACGTCTGCAGCATATCAAACAGCAGCTGAAGACACCACGCGCCAGAGAGGTTTTCTATGATACACTCTTCACACTACGCGAGATGAGGGACCGCAAGGACAAGTCCTACATACTCAACTCTGACTCCTTCCACAAAGTACCAGTGGTGGTACCGTCCAAAGCTGTGGTTGCTCAGTATGACAAGGGTAGGTAATGGACTGTTGTTAAAACTAATCAGGTTTGATTCTGGCCCGAATCTGAAAATGACATAGAGGTAACACATCATTGTTGGCATCAGTGTTGTCTGCACAAATCCTTCCAATGCGATAACTTGTGAAGGAATGCTTTGATTTCGTAAGTTACTTTCTACACATACCTATAGTAACAATTAGCCACTCAGGTTTGATTCTGGACACAATCTGAAAATCAACATGGCTGTAGACGGGGATAGGCAACACATCCACTTCCATGGACTCTTGTTTTAAATGAGAGGCCATATCCTCGGTTCAAGGTCCAACTGAATGTAACACTTCAATGGTTTACATGTCTCAGTAGTGTTCATTTATTAATTATCCTTTGACAAATAAAAAACTGCTTACCAGTAGTTTCCTAGCATGTGCTCTGCTATGCCATGACAAATTAGTTTAATTTACTTTAATATGTTTTTCAATAATATGAAGATATTGAAGTTTAACTTTGGTGTTTTAGATGTTTTGCTGTTGTATGGCGACAACCTACATGTCCTGGTCTGGCAGGCACTTCAGAGTTACAACACACGGGACACCACACAACCCTACTGTAAGTACAATGCTTATAGAACAGATTGATGCATGTTTAACCACGGTTTTCTAGTCACGGTCATGTCCCCATTTGCCTTATAGTATGAAAAAAGCAAATTCATGTGGCCAATCAGCATTCAGAAAATTGTCTTAGCATAAACATGAATCAGGTAATAAAATATTGCTTGGATTTACAGTGATTGCAAAATACTTTGAGTAAGTTGTTACTAGAAATTGAAAGACTGCTATTAACTGCAGGATTTGGTTATTATGGTTATTTCTTTATAGTTGCTATACTTTGCTTGGTATATAATTTGATTCAAAATTAAATACTCAGTGATAATGGTTTTTATAGTTAGTATAAGTGCAATTCTGCCAAATTAAACACTTGTGAGTACAAGGTACCAAATCGCAAAATATGAAGTGTTTTACTTTGGCTTGGTGACTGTTATCCCATTGTCAAATTAGTGTGACTGTTGGTTGTCTTGCCGCTTTGTCTAAGTTATGAAATTTCATTAATTTTGTCACTTTAAAGTGGCACTGTTATCATTACACCTTATCTGTTGAAAAGATGTGATATTCTCCCACCATTCACAGGCGTGTCTCCTCTTTTAGCCGGGAAAGCCGATTAGCACATGTTCAATTGTGACGTCATTAAAATGTGTCACCTGTACTTGTGACGTCATCAAAAGTGAATGACTAGTTTCATACCCCACATGTGTTTTTGTTTACAAACAAACTTGGTAGATTATTGTTGGTGGTGTTGTGACTGAAATAATAGGATGGTAGAAAAATAATCATACCCTACCTTGAGGGTGAAACAGAAATCTCCAACCCTCGGGGTGATTTTTGTTGGTTGTCTTACCCTCGGCAGAGCCTCAGGTTAGACAACCAAAACAATCACCCCTTGGGTAGGAGATTTCTCCTGTCACACCCTTAAGGTAGGGGAAGATTATGTTATACCTAAATATGAAATGCCTCCATAGTTATGATAATCAATAATAAGATAAATGTAGCTATGATGTAAATCAAAAATGTTGAAGTATCCTCAGTGATCGGGTGGTTACTTACTTTGTTGGTGTTGTTTGTTGACAGATGGGATGGACCTGTATTCCAAGCTGCCCTATACCAGCACTGCTCTGACCAATGGTTCACCCGAGTCTCTCTCACAGGTGGATGTACAGGTAAGTTATCCACCGATTATCAAACTGAAATCTCCCAGGGATCAAAATGGCCCATAACAAAATGTTCTTGAGACCAAAATGGCCAAAAATGAAATCTAAAAACTGCTATTAAAGACAGAGGGACATAGGGTTAAAATGCCTTTAAAGATTTTTGATTTTTTTTGTGGATTCAGGTTGTTGCTTTCATAATCTTCCTATTGACTTTAAGATTTTTGGTATTAAATACATCTCCCTGATAACTTTCAGGCGTTTTTCTGTGCTGCCGTCCGATGTGCTGCTGTAGCTTACGAAGATCAGAACAAGAGTTTCCGTCCTGACAGCTACCGACCTCACTTCCTACCAGCATGTCTGAGTCAGTCACTGTGCAGTAAGGTGCAGAGCGATTGGTGGCAAGCTATGTTTAAGTTCAGTGTGGGAACACCACGTGACAACTTTGCCAAACTGAGGCTTGCTATACAACAGGGCTTGGAGACCATTCGTCTTGTGGGTGCACACGGCATAGGGCTGACGCTAGTAACACATCTTGCTCAGACTTTTGATAAATGGGTAAGTTTTGATGAATAGAGGGATACCTTGATGAACATATTAGTAGAGTAGTCTGGAGGAAGTTTCAATACATTGATATGTGATTAAGTTAGATGGGAGGAGTGGATTATCTTATAACCTGAGGAGGTGTGATGGTTTTAGACTAAGTAGGTGTCAGGTGATTACGTTGATAAAATTATACTATTATATAAATGGGTAACCAACTGTGTTGATGATAGGTTTAGGGAGTGGGATACAAGTTTACCTTGTATGGTTTTGGGTCTAAGGAGTGGGATACATGTTTACCTTGTATGGTTTTGGGTCTAAGGAGTGGGATACAATTTTACCTTGTATGGTTTTGGGTCTAAGGAGTGGGATACATGTTTAACTTGTATGGTTTTGGGTTTAGAGAGTGGGATTAATGTTTAACTTGGATGGTTTGGGTTTAGTTTGAGGGAATCGGACTGATAAATGAGTGAGGTAGCTACGTCGACATTGTTTATACTATACTAAAAAAGAAAATGTCATTTATAATCGTTGGTTACATACAGACCCAGACACTGAAGCAGGACGGATCATCTGACCCTACAAAATCTGAAGCCCTAGAAGGTCGCGCTGTGTTCTACTGGAAGGAAGCCATGCAGATGCTCAAACGTTTGGAGAAGTGAGTTGCATTGTATAAAACTGCATTCTCTCATTGATAGGTCTTGTATTTAATATTTTATTTTATTAGTCAAAAAAATCCTTTCCCTTAATGAGGCATTTTTGAAAAAGTTAATTCCTAGATATATTTGTGTACTTGTATGTCCATCAGGAATTTGCCGTATCGCTATCCTAAGGAGCGCCTCTTTGTTGACGGTAACCAGATCAACCTTGATGCTGGTCAAATTGCTGATCTAAAGGAGCAAGCAACATTCTCGCTGGCAGTTCTTGACATGCGTGAGGGGCAATATGAAGAGGCCAAGGAAAAGTTTGAAACCTCCAAGAAACCAATGGCCACCTATTATCTCGCCCAGGTATACCACTATTAGTTGATAGTTTCCATTTTCTAGATTATGTATGCTGACTAGTGTTAAAATGGTGTAATCAGTAACCATTCAGTGTGGTGACTGATAACGTCTTGACTATCTCAGTTTTGACAATTTATTTCCCAATAACTAAAGACGAACTGATGCCTGCTTTAATATAACCATTTATTTGACTTGAACATTTTTTTTTATATTTTTTGTAGATATATAGAATCTTGGCAAACAAGGTGTCAAGTGATGATCCAGGAGGCAGTGACCAGAAAAAAGCCTTGTTGGAACGTTCCCTTGACATGTTGTACCAGGCTCTAGACCGCATCCAGGGTGATCCAGAGCATGTAAGTAAAGTTGTGAAAGGTTGTAATCATACAGGGGACACCGCATACAAGTACAACCAGAGGTCAAGGTCATACTCATACATGGGACACAGCACACAAGTACAGGCAGAGGTCAAGGTCATACTCATACAGGGGACACAGCACACAAGTACAGGCAGAAGTCAAGGTCATACTCATACAGGGGACACAGCATGCAAGTATAGTCAGAGGTCAAGGTCATACTCATACAGGGGACACAGCATGCAAGTACAGGCAAAGGTCAAGGACATGCTCATAAGGAATACAGCATGCAAATACAGCCAAAGGCTAATGTCATGATACTCCACGGGGGGGCCAATCACTTGTAAATACCGGAAGTGGTCTAGGTCATACTCATACAGGGGACACAGCACACAAGTACAGTCAGAGGTCAAGGTCATACTCATACAGGGGCCACAACACACAAGTACAGGCAGAGGTTAAGGTCATGTTCATAGGGAACACAGTATGCAAGAACAGGGGTCAGTTTCATACTCTTAGGAGACACATCGCTTATAAATACAGCCAGGGGTCAAGTTCATACTGATACAGGAGGACAGAGCTATAAGTTCACACAGGGGTCAAAGTTTGAACTCGTTCAGGGACACAGAACATTTGGTACAGCCAGGGGTCAAATATCACACTCATACAGGGGAAATGATAGGGAGCATGTAAGTTACTGTCAGAGATGAAAGGTCATACACTTATTAAGGACACAACACAGAGTATTAGAACTCTTTTGTCAAGCTTAATTTGACTGTTGTTTGTTGATAGGAGCTGCACAAGGAGATCCCCAATACCTTGGATGAGGTAGTCAGTCTACTAGAGCGAATGCAGATGCCCACTGGAACCTGTAAGTTAGCCTGTGGTCTGGTGATAGTAATCATCAGACCATTGGACCGGTCAGTTTTAACTGGCAGTATAGTGATCATTGGGGTTTATGAACTTATTGGCGAAGATTCCTCTGTGAATAGTATTACATGTAAATAATGAACATGTCAGGACAGGCTGTAATGGTAGTAGGAATGTAAGCATTTAGTTTTTCGTGTGAACGTGCGTGCATCATTTGTATAACAAATATCTTGTGTATGTAAGTACGTGGACTTTTGGAAATATCAAGAGTGGAGATCTTCAATAATGTGTCTGAACCTTTGTGACCTATTTTACTGATTGTTTGTTTGTCATGTTTTCCCTCACAGCACTGATAGATAGTATATCAGTAAACAACAATGCTGACAACAGTTTAAATGACGATACACCAAGTTTTAGCACACCAACGAGTTTCCACACTACCCCGGGAGTGGAACAGAATGGCACGCCCATCAGCAGAAATGCCAATGTCAGTGGATCCTGGGCTGGGGGCTCCATAGCACCATTGTCCCTCTTCCCCAAAGATTCTCCCAGTTTTGTGGCTAGTAATATCATTGAGCAGAGCACCCCAGCACCAGTACAGCGGAGAGAGGTAAGACTGTGCTGGTTCTATCTTATCAATCTTATGAATACTGTCTATCTTCTGATCTATGTGATTTGCACAATGAATAAGCCATAATTAATGATTAATCAAAGTTGTTAGTGAAGCTTTGAAAATATTGGATGACTTGTTAGCCTGTCATTGAACAACAGCTTGTCTACCGTGTTGCAGTCAAGTCAGCATGTGCGCCCAAGCCCAGAGCGCCTTGATGCCAGAATCTGGGCACTGGAGAAAAAGATGGCCACTCTCATTGAACTTCAGGAGCAATCTAAAAAGCACTGGGAAAGGACTGTGCAGGATTCCATCAGGACTATGCAGGAGGAGATGAGGGCTGAGATGGCTCAGAACAATGACATACTCAAAGAGATGAAGGTATACAATACAAGGATGAGAGGATATGAAAGAGTAGTTACAACTGAGAGGGTTCAGATAGGGTATTACAAACAGGATATATACAAAGTAAAACAGCCACACAGAGTGGAAAGGGGAGGGTATACACAGGGCAGTCACAGTCAAGATAAGGAAGACAGAACATCCTACTCCAGGCTGTGTTATGTCGGATAATATTGTATCCACTAATATGCAATATTCCACTTTAACTTCAAAAACCACATCAGCAAACAAACAGCAGAAGTTGTGTTATTTAGTATGTGGTGTGTATACGTATTAGTGTCGAAAAATAAATTATCTGATAACTAGCTATTCTAATTTGAAAAGCAAAAAAACCCAAATAAGAATTATGCCATATCCTGAGACAGGCTCACCATTATACACTTCTGTTTTCCTTGTCAGGAATATGTTGCTGTTTAAAAAAAAACCGTTTTCACAATTTTAAACTTGATATGGTAATGTGTTTATTTACAGGAGTTCCTGGCCTCGTTCCGAGGCTCTGCAGCAGGAAGATTTGTAGGTCCTGCCCCCTTCAGGCCTCCACAGTATTATCCCCCACAACAACAATCATGGATGCCTCCCGGTAACTATGGTTACCATATGTCCCCTGTCCCCGGAGCACCACTAGCTCCCTACCCCGGGAATATGGGTCCATTCCCCCCTGCCAACCGACTGACACCTCAGCCGCCTGTGGGACCAACCATGAATCAGATGTCACACCAGAATGATATTGTGGAGGATGACATCTACCACATTGATGGAGAGTACTACGAGGATGACGGCTCACAGCCTCCTCCCCACAACATGTACAACGAGGCCCAGCTCGGTCAGGAGTGGCCCTTTGGCCACCGCGCAGGACTAGAGGGTGAGTTTTTAAAACAATGTCAATGCTAAAAAGTAAATACTTGAGTCATGAACCATGGTTACCGGGTAAAAGCTTTGGTCACTGCATAGGGCTATTGGGTGAGAACTTCAGAATGTGACTTGGGTATTTTAATAGCAAGAACAGAAACATTCACCTCTTTGATGTCATTATTATAACATAATCAAGCAAATGAGGTGTTTGTTTTCATAGAAAATTGCTTAATGGTTTGATGTAAAAGCATATCTTTGTGGTTTTTTTTAAGGGAAATCAACTATCACCTACACCCCCCCTGGTCAACAAGGTCAGACAATGCCACAGCCCGGTATGTTTGCCAACGCCCTGCGAGGCCCGTCTCTGCAATACACTATCAAACAACCTAGCATGGGACCTATGCAGGGGCCACGCCTCCCAACATCTCAACAACCCACACAACCACTTCCAGGGCCAGGGTTTTTCTCCTTCCCCCAGTCGTCAGCAGCCATGTTTAATCCCCAGGATCCCACATACCAGATGACCAGTCGCTCAGGGATTGTAATACCGCCCGCATCTCAACCCTCGGCTCTTATGGCCGTCCTGACAAGATCACCGACAAGTGATGTCACTACAACAACTGTCTCTATGCCTCCCAATGTCCTGGCAACCTCTTGTATGCAGGCACAGTCCAATATGGCTCAAACAAACAAGGACAGTCTGTTTGAAGGTAGGTGTTGGCTTGGACTTAAGATTATATGGTAGGGAATTCTTAATGGTACGATAGTGATGCTTTAAAAGTTAAAACTTTATAAAAAAATGTCTTATTATTGAAAGTTTACTAAGTCACTTCTTCATTGTGATAAATATTCATATAAACAAGTTTGGAAGTTTTAATCTTGTCACCACTTATCTCAGTGTCCAATAATTTATAACGAACCATTGTGTTGGTGTGGACACATTTAAGAGGATCCCAGTAATGAAGCCAAACAAAGTGGCTGATTGAACAAATACTTGAATATATAATTAATATTGAATACCGACCTGCCAACCATCCCGTGAGTGGTTGGAGACTCCAGCAATCACGCCCTTCCTTTCCCTTGAGATACTCCTTCTGCTGTGGGAGAAGAAGGTCATAAAGCTCCCTTATCCCCTCTCATGATCCATAAAACCATGCTGCTAGAAAAAAACATGTTTTTAGCACCCTATCAGACTTCAAATCACCCTTCGTTTTAGTCCATCCTTAAACAATTCTTGTAACTGCTGTTTCTCAAGAAGTCAACAACAGATCTTTCTTATATTACATAATTTTGTAGGTTTCGCTTGGTCCTTTGTTATGCATGTTTTTTTTTGAGACTGATCAGAGTCTTGGATTTTGACAGTTAAGGTTTGGTATTGCTATTTCTGAAGAAGTAATGGTGACCTTCTTTTGAAATGACACTTTCAAACCCAGCTGTATGAAATTTAAATCAGAAGTTACCAAAAGATACATTTACTGTTGACAAATCTATAAATCCACGTGCCACGAAAATAGGGGGTACAAAAGCAAATTCCCAATTCTGCAGGGGGTTTCCCCACTAGTTGCCTCTTACAACATGCAATGGGCAACAGAAGGCCAAAAGGTGCTTTATTTTCTCAATCCCCAGCCTGCAGTTGTGTCTAAGAGAAGAGCCCTGAATTCAATAACTATAGCCCCAAAATAAATATATTCCCACAGGTACGAGAAAAATGAACTTTACAATATCCCCCTCAATGTTCATACCGAAAATACTAATTTTAAAATAGCCTTAAAAAAAATAAAAAATATGATAACTTTTTGTTGCAGGAAAGCCAGTGTCGATATGCCAGCCTCAGTCAATGGTGTCCTTAGGTCAGACCTCCACCCCCAGTAGTGTGCCCCTGTTTACCAGTCTAATGGCTGCCTCCAAGTCTCCGGACACCTCCGACATCCATCAGTCCCCGTTACGTAGTGCTGAGGTTCCCTCTGGGACCAGTTCTGGCCCTCGGATGGATTCCCTGAATCTGACTCCATTCACAGATTTTGCCAGTCTGACTAAATCTTCCTCACAGTCGGGCATGTTCAGACCTACCAGTACGGGGGTGCAGAAGTCCCCTATGACCAGTCCTGTTAAGTCGTCGGGCAGACATGATGATGATGTGGTGGAGGAGTATGAACCCAAAGTTGACTTTAAACCCATCATTGACCTTCCAGACTTGGTTGAGGTAAGTACTAAATTGACACATCTGTATCATTGTTATGGTTTTTAAAAGAAAATGATGTATTCTAATTCATTTGAGATGTAACACGGCATTTGATTGGTCAATCAAAAAATAAACCACGATATACCAACCTCAAAGTTTTATTTTGCATATGAAGCCAGGATGGCAATTGTAAATAACATCATTGATCCGACTAACACGATACATTGTGAAATTGATGATTAATGATGTCACAAACAGTAGTGAACCTGGAAGGTCAATGTAATTCCACCTCACTTTGACTGTTCCTGACGTTACTAATCCATGGCAGAGAGATCCAGAAAACATGAACTCGGTTTCTTTTGGTGATTTTAGCTGATATGAATTAGAATGTTGATAATCCTACTGTATTTTGAGATTTGCGGCGGTATATCATGATTATACAATCACAAATATCTGTTTTACTGGCTGCTCCGCGTTGCCAGTAAATTCAATTTGCAACAGTTTGATCATGATGTACTGCAGCAAATCTCAAAATACAGTAGGGTTAACTTCTAAAAGAAATTCACGTAAGACAAGCACTTTTGTACAGTTCTTTATTGATTTCAATAAAATCTAAAAATGCAAGTTTTCTCTGCCAGATCAAAACTGGAGAGGAAGAGGAAGAAAAGTTATTTGGAGAGCGTGCCAAACTTTTCCGATATGACCCAGACATTAACCAATGGAAGGAGAGAGGCATTGGAGAAATAAAGCTGCTGAGACATCGCAGTACAGGACAGGTACGGGTCCTGATGAGGCGGGAACAAGTTTTGAAGTTGTGTGCCAATCACAAGCTCACAACAGCAATGAAGCTGGTTCCCATGGCTAACTCTGACCGAGCATGGTGCTGGACAGCCATGGATTATGCTGAAGGTGAGCTAAAGACCGAGCGCCTCGCAGTCAGGTTTAAGAGCCCTGATCAGGCAAATTTGTTCAAGGAGACATTTGAGGAATGTCAGAAGAAAATTCAAAAACAGGAGCAGAAACCACCGTCTTCCTCAATTACAGCTGAGAAAAAAGAAAAACATATTAAAGGTCCAACATCACTCGCAGAGATGTTTAAACCCCCCGCAGATAGTTGGGAATGTGAAGCATGTTATGTTTCAAACAAGGCCGATATTCAGAAATGTGTAGCATGTAATACGCCTAGACCTGGTGCTAAGCCTGCAGCAGTGGCACAAACTAAAAACAAGGAGGCATCAAATCTGGCAGCAACAGGACAGACACTCAGGGAACTGTTCAGACCGGAGGAAGGTAGTTGGGAATGTAATGGCTGTTATGTCTCTAACAAACCCGATGTACAGAAATGTGTGGCGTGTCAGGCATTGAAACCTGGACTAAAATCCTCTGATGTGAAGTCATCTCCTGCTTCGAGTGGTTTCAAATTTGGAGTATCATCAGGCGGTGGCTTCAAATTTGGAAAAGCCCCTGCTGAATCGGAAACGAAAACAACACCATCAGTGTCAAAACCAGCAGCTGGTGGTAAACCTGGCCAGCAATCATTAAGTGAGATGTTCCGACCTGCTTCAGGGAACTGGGAATGTGAGGGATGTTATGTGTCTAACAAAGCTGATGTCCAGAAATGTGTGGCCTGTAGTACCCTTAAGCCTGGACTCAAACCAGAGGATGTCAAACCTGCAGCACCATTCTCGGTAGGGCAGACTGGCTTTAAGTTCGGTGCACCAGCAACTAGTGGCTTTAAGTTCGGAATTCCATCAACTGCATCGGACAAGGAGACCAAATCTACCCCAGTTACAGCCTCTACAGAGCCAACATCAGCTGGATTTATGTTTGGACAGACTGAAGCTTTCAGCTTCAAAAAGACAGAGACAGCCTCTTTACCTAGTAACACCTCCACCACAGCTGGTGGTGCAGGTAAGACACTTCTTACTCTAGTTTGCACCCAAATTTTCTTGTGATAGGTCTACATATTATGTAACAACTTTGTAAACAGTATCAGAAAAGTCATTTCAGTTAAAAGCCATTTCATCATGCAGAGTTAGAAATTAATTTTGAATACCACTAGTCAGTTTGGGTAGTAGTTCCAAATTTTTACTGGTCCAAGTGCAAATTCCACTAAGCCAATATTATTCAACAAGATAAGCAATTGATATCAAAATTTGACTAGTCAATCAGGCTAGTGGTTTTTAGAACCGCTGCTAGTTCAGCTGGTGATTTCACTAGTCTCAGGCTATTGGGCTACCTTATTGTCTAGTCCTGATCATGTCCAACCGTATTGGCTCATTGATGATTACCTTAGTGCTTTTCTTAACATTTTTTTCAATATGCAATGTATTTATAGTATTTTTTTGTGTTCATCAGGTGGGTTTAAGTTCAATATGGCCACACCGGTGTCCATTTCATCCGAGCAAATCAGTACCACTACCGCCTCCTCCACCACCCTATTATCAACTCAAAGCAAAACAACTCCAGGAATCGGTTCAGGCATAGCCCCAGCACAGCCATCAGCAAAATCTACCACATTTGGGGCTACTCAAGAAGGTTTCAATTTCAATTTGGGCAAAACTAGTACAGATCTGCCTCAACAGGCCTCATCTGATTCGACTGCAGCTCCAGCAACTTTCAGCTTTCCAACAGAATCTGGCCCCATGTCATCTGGGTTCTCCTTTAAAACTACAACAGAGCCCAAAACACCAGAATCCAAGCAGTCAACAATGTCGTCTGGATTCCAGTTTACATTTACACCTGGAGCTCAGGGAAAATCCCCTGGAGTAGCGTCTCCCAAATCTCCGGAGACCGATTATTATCAGAATAAAGAAGGTGAGGATGATCACATATACTTTGAACCAATTGTGGCTCTGCCTGAAGCTGTTTCTATAGTAACAGGAGAGGAGGAGGATGAAGTATTGTTTGAGCACCGTGCCAAACTGTATCGCTTTGACAAGAAGGAGTGGAAAGAAAGAGGCCTGGGTAATGTCAAGATCCTATACAACAGGGACACTGAGAAATCCCGTCTACTGATGCGCCGAGAACAGATCCTGAAGGTATGCTGCCATCATTACATTACACCTGACCTCATGCTCAAACCCATGCCTAAGACAGATGGTAAGGCCTTCATTTGGTTTGCCATGGACTTCTCTGATGAAACGCCAAACATGGAGCAGTTCTCCATCCGGTTCAAATCTTCTGAAGTTGCAAGGAAGTTTGCTGACGCATTTGACATAGCGCGAGAAAAGTCTGGGAACCAGGTGGCTGAGCCAGAAAGCTCGCAAGCTCCCAGTGTGGCCAGGTCATCGGAGGTTAAAAGCCCCTCAGTCCCAGATAAAACTCAGGACGTTGTGTTTGTTGGTGAGGAAAAGGCAACCAAGGAACAAATTGCCGAGGCCAGGAAATATATGTTACCCGACCACTTCTATCTGTACCTGTCTCGTGAACCATGTCGTGGGTGCAGAGGGTGCACAGACAGTATGCCAGGCGACCCAGCTATTAAACCCAAAGGTATGTAACACATTTTTCTCCTATAAACAAGTTATGATTATTATCAATATATGCAGGTCATTACAATCTCTATTGAAAGTTACAAGTAACAATGGTGGGTGTGATTGTCTGCCATCACTATCAGCATGTAATAATGGACATTTGTAGTAGCTGGCACCTGTGTATGAGGTGACATTTCTTTTTCAATGTGTGTCATATTACCATACAGATAACATCACCACAAGTAAGTCATCAGGAGACACGTCTGGTAAGTCCGAGGCTGTGACAAGCAGTGTGTTTGGAAGCGGGGAAGGTGCAGGATCAGGACTTTTTGGTGGCCTCTCTGCTGATAAAGTGTTTGGTGCTATTTCCACATCTGGGACTCCCTCGTTTGGCCCATTATTTGGTGTTAGTTCCACATCTGGGACTCCCTCGTCTGGCCCAATATTTGGTGCTAGTTCCACATCTGGGACTCCCTCGTTTGGCCCAGTATTTGGTGCTAGTTCCACATCTGGGACTCCCTCGTCTGGCCCAATATTTGGTGCTAGTTCCACATCTGGGACTCCCTCGTCTGGTCCAATATTTGGTGCTAGTTCCACATCTGGGACTCCCTCGTCTGGACCAGTATTTGGTGCTAGTTCTACATCTGGGACTCCCTCGTCTGATCCAGTACTTGGTGCCAAGCCTAGTTCTCAATCCACAGATGGGATATTTAGTACCCCTGCCACTGGAAAATTGTTGGGTTCTCTGCCATCTACAAAAGCTTCATCCACCGGAGGCTTGTTTGGCTCCATACCAGCTACAACTATCCCACCCACTGGAGGACTGTTTGGCAGTACACCAACTACAGCTGCCTCTTCTAGTAAAGGATTGTTTGGTTCTGTGCCTCATACTTCTTCATTTGGCACCCAATCTACAGCATCAGCATCAGAGACGAGCAGTACACCAAAGGACAGTGGCGACCACTCTGTCAGTCCAGGAGGAACTGTCTTTGGTGGTCAGACTACAGACTCAGCAGCTGAGTTTTCCTTCTCTCTGCTGGCTGCACAAAGTGGCTCAGAGAATGCCTTCAAAAAAGGTACGTAACATCAAGTCAATAAGTTTCCATAAGTTTAAGGTGCCTCACCCTTTTGCATTTACATAGTTCAACAAGTACTGTGCATGGCTACAATGTTCTTTAATCAAACTTTCCTGTTAATCCAAGTTCAAAGTTGTTGTGTTTTCTTAATGGTTTCACATTATACCATTATCTTTAACGAGTATGGCAGGATATTGATGTTCATGAAAGCAAAGCATTTAACAGCATACATTTTCATAAGTGAAAAGCATTTAAGTAATTTAGTTTGAAATTTGACTTTAATTTCAAATTCTAATGTGAATTGAAAATATTAAGTCTACTCTTAAGATATAAATGCTAAAAGTTTAAATCACATTTTTGTCTTGCCTGTGATGGATGTTCTGGCGGCAGTGTCACATCGATGTAAAGTTTTGCAATTACCTCCTTTTTTACAGAAGTATAAGTGCTAACTGTTACACCAACCAAATTTCCACCATACTTGCATCTTACCTACCCATTACATAATATTATGTATTACATGTGTTGTTGGTCAAAGAAGGGACAGGACAGATGGTGTAAGTCTGGGGAATTCTTTTTCACACAACAAAAGTGAAATGCCTGATAAACAATATGGAAATGATGACACGAAAATACCACAAGAAAAATGTGTGTATTTTGTATTGTGGATAGTTCTTAATCTTCCGATTTTCCAATGATATGTAGTTCTTGGTTTAGGGTCTTGTATCCTTGTAACAGCTAAGGTTGTATGAAGACAGTCTAAGGACAAAGAGATCACTTTAAAGTGCCACCTTATTGAAATATCATAGCCTTGACATGACACCAAATACACCTCAGAGAATTCATAAGTCCGCAGCCAAGGAATGCCTCGTTAACATCAAACTGTGTGATGGAATAAATCATTGTAAACATACTACCATGTATATACATACAGGTGATATAAAGATAAGCTGAAGAATTAAAACAGTACAGTGACTACAAAAATGATCTTGAGCAAAACATGTAATGTTAAGGTTATGACAAGGGGTCAAAGGTCAAAATTTCATTAATGTTTTCTGAACCTTTACTGATGCTTCCCTATTTTCATCTGAATCTACAAGGCCCGATGCCATATAACTTTGCAAAGGGTCGGGTATATGTCCTAACCTCATATGCTCCCTCCCCCACATCTAAATGCTTACTGACGTTTCCAGACTACATTATTTTATTACCATGTTTTTTAGCTAGACATACACCTTAGGTATTTGCTTGACTTGGTGTTACAGATGCAAATAAGCCGTTCAGCTGGTCAGGGGCAGGCAAACAGCTATTTGGTGTTAAGAGCCAAGATGGAGGGACGCATGACGGAGATGGAGAAGATGAAGTTGTCGAAGGTCATGACCCACACTTCGAGCCAATAGTTGCCCTCCCTGATCTTGTGGAGATTAAAACAGGTCGGTCCGAGATCCATTTTGTGTTTTTGCAATGCAAGATAGCCTCATTGGTCACTAATTGGCTGAGGCATATTGAGTTTTCATGGTGTGTATAGCATGTTCTTGTCTAATTCCAAAGGATAATATTTTCTGAGCCAATTGAAATGAGAAGAATAGCAGTCCAGGATATGCCTCTTACCATGAGTGTCCCAAGGTCCTACTGGCCCTTAGTTTACGAGATTGTTGTTCCTGTCATTGTTTCCTATGATTGATGATTAAGGAATCTAATTATAATTAACACAAACTCACAGCTAAAATTTCTTGAGCAGTTTCAATTATCAGCTGTTACAAATGTCATTTACCTGATCACACTTGTTGACAGGTGAGGAGGATTTTGATGCCTTGTTCAGCATCCGAGCCCAACTTTTCCGGTTTGACAAAGATGTCAGCCAGTGGAAGGAGAAAGGCCGTGGTGAGATGAAGATCCTCCAACAACATGCCACAGGTAGGTCACACTTGCACAAGAAATACTTTGTAATTTCCAAATCTTACCTATTCATGACTATTCTGCCACTTAACATAGCAGTTTTAATCTTCCACTGGTTAACCGTATTGATCATGAATGCCAAATGATAGCTATTCAGTGCATTTATTTTCCATTTTTGAATATTGATGGTCAGATCAAGCAAGATATATGTATTGAAAGGTGGTCAGACGGTGCAGTGGATACATACAAAATACATAAATTTTATCACTAAAACTTAGTGCATTGAACAGATTTTTAGAGCTTATAATTCAATGTTACAGACTTTCTCTTTTTAACATAAATAAAAATGAACAAAAAATGGACGGTCAAAAACACAATGGGACCAGACTGGAATTTGAACCCTAGACCAGGTGAGCTACCTGGTAAATGGTAGTCACTTGCTTCAGTTCTGCAAGCCATATCTAAAATGAAATTAAGAGGAGGTCACTGCCTGCATGAAAAACTACAGTTGAATTATCAAAAAGTTTTGCCTGCAGTGGAGCAAGTATCCTTAATACTTCAATTTACAATAAATGTATGAGGATTATAAATATTTATGACAAATTAATTTGTGACAAGCAAAACAGTATTCTTGTCTGTTCACTTTTATAACATTGTTCTTCCACAGTAATAAAATATCTGTAACCATGGTAACTGTGTGTGTGTTCTGTTGTAGGAAAGATACGGTTGTTACTACGCAGAGAACAGATATTTAAGCTGGCCTGTAACCACTGGCTGACCCCTGACCTCGCATTTAAGCCATTGAATACCTCAGAGGTTGCCTGGTGTTGGACTTCACAGGACTTCAGTGAAAATGAACCCCGTGTAGAACAACTTGCTGTTAAGTTCAAGGTCAGTAATCTATAAGTGTTAATTGCTCCTAATTGCTATTCATGGTACAAAGCAGAAATGTTCTGGAAAAAATGTGAAATAAATTAAGTTTGAAGGAAGGTAATCAAAGATTGAAAGAATGTGGAATTACATCGCAAATTCATTTAAGATTTTTAGGTCACCTGAGACAAAGTCTCAAGTGACCTATTGCGATCGCCTTTTGTCCGTCGTCGTCCGTCGTGCGTCCGTAAACAATTTACATTTTCAACTTCTTCTCAAAAACCCCTGAACCAATTTCAATGAAATTTTGCAGGGACCTTCCTTTGACAAAGGTCAACAAAAATGGTTGCCGGTTTAGTCCCAAGCTCCCAGGGGCCTGAGGGGCGGGGCCAAAAAGGGTCAAATTGACTAAAATTTCAAAAATCTTCTTCTC